GGGTCAGACCTTTGGTACAGGGAATTTTGTTTGGGTTGAAAAGGACCTCAAAGATCATTTAAAGATCCCCAGGGTTGGGACTGCTTCATCCCTGGAAGTGTCCGTGGCCAGGATGGATGGGGCTTGGAGCACCCTGGCATAGTGGAAGGTGTCTTTGCCCATGGAGGGCGTGCAACTGGGTGATTTTTAAGTCACTCCCAACCCAAAACATTCCATCATTCCATGGAAAGAACTGGAGCACTTTACAGCACAAATTAATTTTTACTGACTTCTCCCAGGTTCATTTTCAGGGTTCATGTCCCGCTCCAGCTTTTCTTCAATCTCCTTTGCTTGTACAACAGCAGGAGCCAGAACCCTCAGGTGCCACTAGGTGCCATCCCAGCGACTCCGGGATGAGGAATAAATGGCAGGACTGGGAAGAAGAAAGCACCCACCCACATTTTCCAGAGGGAATGGAGACAAAAAGAAAGGAAATTGCTTTCCCAAGGCTGCCTGGGAAGCCTGGCAGGATGTCTTGCAGTGGCTGTACCCATCCTGCCTGGCTTCCTGCTCCTTCCTAAAGCTTTGACTGCATCCATCCCTTGGCTCCAGCACCTTTGGAAAAGCTTCCCATGGGATGTGTTCCTCTCCTGCCTTTTGTTGTTGCTGCTCCTGCTGCTGTGCTTTGTGTGTGAAAATGATTTTTCCAGCCTCTTTCGCTGCCCAACGAGTTCAGTTGCAACCACAAATCCAACAAAGGTCAGAATTTCACGGGCAGACTGCACCAGAGAAGAAAAGCCTTGTTCAAAAGCAGGATGTGTGCCTGGTATTTGCATGGTCACCATGCAAATGATTCCAAATTTCCAGCATGGATTCAAAACTATGCCACAACCAAGGGGAAAAAAAAAAGGAAAGAAAAGGAAGAACAATGGATAAATAGAATTGTATTTTATAATTTAATAATACTTTCAAAAATGATGTGAATATTTAAACTGGCTGATGGGGCAGGTGCTTCCCTGAATCACTTTTGGGGAGGTGAAGGCCACCCTGTCTCACATCTGAGCAACATCTTGAGCAGAAGGGAGCTCCTGCTCAGCTACAGCGACAATAATCTGGTTTTAATCTGCTCTCCATCCCACTAATTGCATGTGCAGGAATCTCTTCCAGCTCCCCAAGGAGCCCTGCAAAGCCCTTTGCCTTGTCCTCCCTCTCCCGCTCCTATCCTGGGGCAGCTTCAGCTCCAAAATCTCAGGGGACCCCTCTGTGTACAGGAGGCTGAAACTCGAATTTCCCCTCACCCCCAGCTTGATCCAGGCTTTAATAGAATTCCCTGATTCCTATAATGAGGATTTCTTGTCCTAAAGAAGCTTGAGGGGGGTCTGATGGTAGCAGGAAAATCCAACAGGTGTTTCCAGCCATCCATGGGGAATACCCAACCTCTACAACCCTGTGCAGTATTCCTTGGATCACCAGGGGTCACAGACTGGATGCTGAACCTGAGAGTGGAGGTGCTCCAGCAGGATCCAGACCTGGAAAGTATGCAGAGCTGTGGGAACCCTGGATGCTGAGAATTTGACACTTTCTGTGCTGCCAGGCATTGACCCCAAGAGAACACTGCATTGACCTGAGGTCCTGGAGAAGCTTCCAAAATGGAATGACAGAACTGGGATTGTGGCTGTGCAGTTTGAATAGAAGTGTGTAATAGATAATAAAATAAAAGAGGTTTTAGGGTGGAGGCTGGTCCTTCTTCTTCACCTTCTTCTCCATGGGTTTGGGTGGAATTGTGGAATTCGAGAGAAAAGTCTGCATTGCGGACTTTGAGTGATTAGTTATTGGGTTAAAAGTGAAAATACTTTAGGTGTCATTTCTTAATTGGGCAGCTTAGCCTTAAAAGACCTTGTTGAGAAAGACAGTTAGTCATTTTTGTACCTTGTTAGTAGAATAGTGCAGAACTCACAGTTTGTGAGACTGTAACATACACAAGAAAAATAAACATTTGAGTCTGAGAATGAACTATAATCTCAAGTGCCTTCATTCCCGACCTGACAGAAGAAAAACTAAGCCAAGAACTGGAACAAAAGCTGTGAAAGTTTTGGATGCTACACTGTAACCCAACCCTGCTGATGAGAAAAACCAGTTTGTGTGTGTCCTTCCAGTTGTGTTGCTGGGATCTCAGCAAAACACAACGTGGCTCTTGGATTTAGTCAGAGCTTTAAGAGACAATCCAGCAGTGGAGAATCCTGCCTAACCCTTCATCCCTCAAGTGCTGCCTGAGTCACTGAGCTTCAAAAGCTGGCTGTCCATCTGTGTGGCATCTCCAAACATTCCAAACACACCTTGGCCTTCTTTTGTGCAAGGACCTGCCTGGAAGAATCCTGGATACCCTGACCACAGCCAGGAAATATCTACTGCTAAATACGACTTAGTTTTAAGTGTCCTCTATGATCTGTAAAGATCCTGCTTAAGTCTAATTCAGGATCTGCTTTGTTGGTCTGGGTTTTGTTCTAGCTTCACCCAAATTCTAGGTTTGCTAGTTTTGCAAGTTGTCAAACTCGTGCTGGAGTATTTTGTTGAGCTGTAAAACTTTGTGTAGAGCCCAGCCTGGGGAAGAGAAGCCTCTGGGGTGACCTCAGAGCAGCCTAAAGGGGCTGTAGGGGATCTGGAGAGGGACTTTCCATAGGGAGAGCAAGGGGGAGTGGCCTGAATTGGAAAGAGAGCAGGTTTGGGTTGGATTTTGGGAAGAAATTCTTTCTGTCAGGGTGGTGAGGCCTGGCACAGGTTGTTCAGAGATATTATAAATTCTCCATCCCTGGAAGTGTCCAAGACCAGGATGGATGGGGCTTGGAGCAGGGTGGGGTAGTGGAAGGTGTCTCTGCCCATAGCAGGGAACTGGAATTAGGTGATCTTTAAGTTCCTTTCCATCCCAAACCATTCTCTGATACTTCAGTGGATTTCAAATTCTTCAATTAAGTTCTTTTTAAACCAGCTTCCTGCATGTCAGGGTGAGGAGGCAAAGTGGGAGGTGATGGCTGGAGAGCCACTGCCATTCCTAACAGGGGTGTTGATCCCAAACAACTTTGTGAAAAATAGAGTTTGCTCCTTAGAAATGTTAAACACTTAATAATAGGATTAAAAAGGACAATATTTCTAGCACTGGGATGCTTTTGATGAACAGCCAAAGAGAACCAAAAAACTTAAAATCATGTTTTCTCTGTACAGTAACATTGCTGGAGGTACATCCATATTCATTAGCTTATACATGATTTGAATATTCCTGAGAGTTTTTGATGCTGCAGGGGCTCTTTGTGTTTCAGTTTCCCATCCTGACTTATCTGTACGAGATCAAGTCAATAAATTTTATTCCTTCCTGTGGTTTCATTCCCATTGTTTCACATTTTCTGATAGGAGGAGTTAACGAGCTCTTCCCCAGTCTCCAGTGTCTTGTGTCACTGTTATCACTTGGAGAGCTCAGTCAGTGGATGGCTTTCACTGTTCCTTTCATTACAAAAAGCCTTTTAGCATCTTATGTTTTGCTAAGGTCTAGAGTACAATACATTCATCACACAACTATTTCTATAAGTGATACAGAAATATCATATTTATTACACTACTATTTCTATGAGCTATACAGTACATACTTAAGGTGATGGATTATATTATATTATATTATATTATATTATATTATATTATATTATATTTATTATAGAATAGTATATTTATTTTATTATCATTATATTTCTTATAGTATATTTTATATTATATTAACAAGCAGCTAAAAAAAGTTATAATTTGTACCATATCTAAATACTTATGATCAATAATAAAATGCAAAAGCTAATACATAAATGCAAAAGCCATTTATGGCTTCTTTTTTTTTTTTTTTTTTATTTACGACCATTATCTGGTCATTTTTATCAACCTCCCATGGGATGAACAGAAGGAAGGACAGGGCACAGATGTTTTGCAGCTGTGGTGGGGGACTCAGGGAAGGAGGAGCAGCAGCTGCTGCCCCTGGAAGAGGGAATGTGCCCTGGGATAGGGCACAGTGCCAGGGCAGGGCTTTGCACAGAACTTGCAATGTCCAACCCAAATTTATCAATTCTTTATTTCCTTTCTCTTTGTTTTTTAACTTCCTCCCCTGCTTCTCTCCCGGGTCTGTTGTGTGGGAATTGTTTTGTGCCTCTCAGATTCTGGTGCCCTTGCTGGCTGTGAAGTTTAAGGGTTAATAATAATAATAATAATAATGAAATAATAATGAAATAATAATGAAATAATCATGTTGGATTTACTGGTCTTTCCATGCCATGTCACTACCACAGAATCACAGAATATCTGGGTTGGAAGGGATCTTAAAGATCATCCAGCTCTACCCCTGAGAAAGTAATTGGAAAACATCCTAAGAAATGCACCATATTTTAGGACATAAATGTTGTGTCTTAATGAGATCATCACAAATACAAATTCTTGCTCAGTCAGACACATGCTTAGAAGTTCTGACCAGCATTTCCAAGAATAATTCTAAAATTTAGAAATTGAAATTTGAATTGGTGACATTGCAGTTTGGAAAGGTCAAATTCCTAAAATTTAGCAAGGAAGGGGAGAGACAGGTGGTACCAAGAAAGGAAAACAGTATATTAATGTAACACTCAATATATTTATTGTACTTAATGTAATTTTACTTAATACTTAATGTAACTTCTCAGGGGTCATTGCTGAAACAGTATCATCCAAATCTGAACAGTTTTCTTTTCTCTCACCTTGAATAACTGAATTAATGCATTTCCCTTGATTTTTTTTTATTCCAGCTGCTTTGAGCAACCAGGATTTTCTGGCTGCATGTTAAAAAAAATAAAAATAAAAAATTAAAAAAAAAGGCGGAGCGGCCGCAGCGGGGAGCGCGGAGGTGCCGTCCCCGCCCGCGTCGCCAGAGGGCGCACAGCGCCCCTGGCTGTCCGCCGGGCTGTACCATCTCCCTAAGGGGGGGGGGTGGGAGGCAAGTGACGTGCTGCGGACTGTGGCACGACACGACAGAGGGTGACACCGGGAGAAAGGTGACAGCGACAGCGCGTAACAACGACATCGGGTGACAACGTCGGCGGACTCGGCTTGTAGAGACAGCTGCAGTCCTCCCGCACTGCAATGCCTCGGCGCTCCCCGCACGGCGCTCGGTGGTGCGGCCCCATTGCGGGCCCGGCGGCGCGGGCGGGGGCGGCGGCATTCCATAGGGCCGGGCTTCCGTAGGCTGGGCTTCCATAGGGCCGGCTTTCCATAGGGCACATTTCCACAGGGGCGGCTCTCCATAGGGTGCGTTTCCATAGGGCCGGGCTTCCTTAGGGCCGGGCTTCCACAGGACCGGCTCTCCATAGGGTGCGTTTCCATAGGGACTGCGGGAGCCGCTCCTGCCCCGCCGCCGCCCGCTTCCCCACACGTCGCCGCCGGCCCCGGGAGGTGCGGGGGCCCTGCGCAGGTAGGCGGTGGCGGGGAGGGGACGGGAGGGAACGAGAGGGGACCGGCTGAGGGGGCAGCGCTGGCCCAGGCCGGAACGCCGGGATCGCAGAACGGGCGGGGTTGGAAGGGGATCGCCCTGCCCAGCCCTGCCCCGGCGCGCTCAGCTGGAGCAGGCGCCTCAGGAGGGCTCGGAACGGCTCCAGCCACGGACACCCGCGGCATTCCCGGGAATGGACACGGCCCTGAGAGCTCCTTGGACAGCGCTGCCAGGGATGTGTGGGGTGGGATTGTGGGGGGTCTGGGCAGGATCTGGGTGATCCTGATGGATCTTCCCCAGCTCAGCATATTCCATGGTTCTCCCCGTGCTCCGCCGCCTCCATGGGAAGAAGCTCTTCCTCAGGTTGAGGTGGAATTTCCTGTTTTAATTTATGGCCATCGCTCCTCGTCCTGAGCGCTGAAAAGAGCCTGGCAGCATCAGTGGTGGAAGGTGATGAATGATTATTTACATCGGGATTTGCTAAGGAAGTTTGTCACCTGGGATTTTGGTTACACGCCTAAAGGTCACTGGCAAGTGGCTTTTGTATGGTTTTTAATTATTTTATGTTATTACTTATTTTCCTGCCATTGTGTCCAAGCACAAACATGATCTATTTACCTTATTTCGATTATTGGATTTTATCCAACCTTGCTGGCATCTGGCAGCTGAGGTGCAGGAATATCAACCCACACTGAATCATCACTGCCATCCCTGCTTTCCTGGGTGGAAGTCAACCCTTTACCTGTCTTTTCACTGCAAAAATCCAGATTAAATACCTTGAGAGCTGATGTGTGCTGTCAGCAAAGCAGCTGCCTGATTCTGAGTGACCCAGACAAATCTCTTCTCCATGGAAGTGGCAGCAGCCCTGACTTGGCAGAGAGCTGCTGGAAAAACTTCCCAGCTCCTCAGGAGTGGAAACAATCCCATGATTAATATCCTTAGATGAGATGAGGGAAATAGAGTTCCATTTCTTGCCCAGTGTTTGTATCAGATTACTCCTAATTTTTGCTGACAGTATCTTGCAGCTTTTCCACTTTGTTGGCTTTTATGGGAGGATTGACTTTTTTTTTTTTTTTTTCCCTTGGAACACACAGAGCTGGATCCCAGATAAATGAAATGTTATTCCCTGATTTCACTCTCTCTGCTGTGAGCAGCACTGCAAACATCCTGATAAAAACAGAATTAAATCCTCTTTGTAGCCAAACAAACCAGCCCAATCTGGCCCTGATGACATTGTGTGATAATTTTATTTTTCCATGGAGGTGGATCTGGCTTGGCTGGCACAGAGTGATTTTATTGGCAATGCCTCAATCCTGCTCAGGGGAGTGCAAAGGTGCCTTAAACCTGCACTTAAAATACTTTCTGGTTTTTCATTTCATCCAGCATTTTTCTGGTTTTGAGAGTTTCTTACCAAATCCCATCTATTGATGGAGTTAAACTTGTTTATTACAACATATTTAATGTTTTAAAGGACATGGAGGGTGGCTTGGGTTTATTTTTATGTCCTAAACAGCAGGAGACTGAATGCAGATGTCCTTCAGAAATGTAAAATATTTTGTTCCAGAGCTGTGATTTCTTTTCTGTATCAGTGATGCAGCAGGGATTGACCTAAACCTAAGCATATTTGAACTATTCTAGAAGAATATTTTGATGTTTTCTAACAGAACTGGGGTCAGAGGTAGCAAAGGAGAGAAGGAAGAATTTTTGGAGTAGGGAAAATCCAACCATGCTTGGATTCCATTATTCTAAACCAGGTAGATTTGAATTTTTAACCTAAATACTTTGCAAAACACAGGAAAATCAAGCCTGAACAGCCGATCTTTAAATATAAAAATATTTTTAAATGGTTTGTTGAACTAGAGGGCGATTATAATGCATGGCTTGGCATCTTGGCACAACACCTTGGACTTCACTTGAGCATCTGCTGCTGCCAAGTGGAGCTGCAGAGCTCTGAGAGCTCCTTGTGCTGAGGCCTGAGAGCCCTTGAGCAGAATTCCCCTGGGGGCTGTGTTTGCACAGGGAATATTCCCCATTCCATGCTCCAGGTGACCTTGCAGAGCACAGGGATGAGTTATAAAGGCAATTCCCAACTCCTTGGAGGGAAACTTTGGGATCCTCCCCTTTGTTACTGTGTATGGAATGGGAAAACACCTTCCAGAAATAGGAAAAAGTGACTGAAAGTCTTTTGGAAAAGCCAGTAGGGAGTCAGAATTATTTTGGGAATTATTTTTAACTTTGTATTGAAATTTTGACCTGTTTATTGTGCTGCCAGTGCTTCTCCATATTTATGATCTCAGGTGTGGCAGAACCGAAATTTGGGTGATTTTTGTAACTCTTTGCATGTCTGAGTTTTCCAGGAGGCTCCACCTTGCTATGAGCAGCCAAGATGGATCCAGAAGAGCAGGATTTACTTGGGGATTACAGATACAGGAATTATTCTTCAGCAATTGAGAAAGCTTTGAGGAACTTTGAATCATCCAGTGAATGGGCAGATCTGATCTCTTCCCTTGGCAAGCTCAATAAGGTACAGAGGGGAATTTTTATCATTTATTTGTGATGTTTGTATTGCTATGAACTTTTCTGGCACTTCTAGTGCTTGAAAAACTTGAAAATTCATTCAAGAAAAATAATGGAAGGAGTTAAGTCAGTATTTTTTTATATTAGTGGGAGAAATTCTGGTGAATTTCTCACATTTATATAAAAGAGCTTTCCTGCAAATGGTATTTCCTGTCTTTATTCTGCTAATTTAATTTAATTTATTTAATTTTAATTAATTTAATTTTTGCATCAAAGAAACCCTCACTCTAGAGCAGCTAAAATAAAAGCTTTTCTAGAAAAGAGGAAATGACAAGTTTTAGAATATTTTCTGAGTCAAAGCTTTTATTTAAAGGTCACATTTCCTTGGCTGTGCCCTCCCCTTGGATTTGGGGAAATTTGGTTTTTGTATGACCATGGAGAGAGACAGAAATACTGTTTTGGAGCAGGAGTTCCACATTTCTGCCTTCAGTTTTTCATCATGATTCTGGTTCTCATCAAGAGCCAGAGGCCTTCAAAATGCTTTTCTCCAAAGGGAAAATATGAAATAATAAGAGAGAGAGGAAGGCTTTGATCTTTTCTCTTGACCTAGATAAATACTGAGCACCTACCTGAGCTCTTATTCAGGTACAGAATTGCCAAAATCTGTGGCAGCAGAGCAGAAACCAAAGGAAAAGCTCTCAGCTGATCCAGAGCCCATCTGCTGGGGGGTTTTAGGGATTTAATCTTTTTAGGAGCTTAAGAATTGGTGGAGCAAATCCTTCCCAGTGTTCATCCCTGTCTGTTGTCTGAATATTAGGAGGGATGTAGCAGGGGAAGCAAAATAAGATGTCAGTAACTATGGGGATTTTTGGAGGATTTAGGGGGATTTTTGAAGGAGTTTAGAACGAGTTAGAGACGGGAATTTTGAGTAGTTTTTGATGGTGTGGTTTATTTTTTGATTTTTGCATGGGTAGGAAGGGTGAGTTTGGCTGACATTGTTACAGCATGGTTTAGAAGGTCACAAGACCCTTAGTTATAAAACTTTTTCAGGAGTTATTGACTAATAAAGCACTGTTAATAAGGATATTTATGTTTTTGACTCAATCTTTAAATATTTTGTCTTATGCTACAGAGTAAGCTGTAGCTAATTATTCTTAGCTAATTGTGTTATGACACACAAACCTACAGTGCTGCATTCTAATTTCTCTGTTTACTTTTGTAGTTACTTTTATTTTTTTATATCTTGAACTTCAAAACTTCAAACTTTCCTTTACCTAGCTGAACCTTTCTCTGCTTTAAACTCTAAATTTACATTCTTGCTTCTAGCACTTAAGTTTGGAAGCCTTTTCCAAGGTCTCAGATCAAATCCTGGGTTTAATTCTAAGCTTTGGCTTCCAGCCCCAAAGTTCTGAGTTTTTTGCATTTGGGATTCCAACAAGTAACCATTCCCTGAACTCCTGGCACTACCTGGTCTCTGACAGCCTCAAATATAAATATTATTGTTGAGTTTTGTCAGGGCTGGGGGAGGTGGTTCTGACAGGAAAACCTCGGTGCTGCAGGTGGATGAGCAGGAAGGAGAGCAGTGATAAAATTGTTTTTACAATCTACACGTGGCTGTATTAAAGATCCTGGGGGTCACTTGTGTGCAGGAATAACTGAGATTAATCCCCCATGAAAATGCTGAGAAAGGGAAGGACAAAACACCAGAAATCAAGAAGTTCAGAAGTTCATTTCCAGAGCAGTGTGAAACCAGCATTGCACCATATGGGTGTAATATTTTTTGAGACTTTTTCTCCTGCAGGCACTGTTGAGACACAAACACTTTTATTTTCATAAAGCTCAATGGCATCACCCTCCAGGTAACCCAAGGTCTGGAAAAATCAAGATGCAAGATGTCCTTCAGAAATGTAAAATATTTTGTTCCAGAGCTGTGATTTCTTTTCTGTATCAGTGATGCAGCAGGGATTGACCTAAACCTAAGCATATTTGAACTATTCTAGAAGAATATTTTGATGTTTTCTAACAGAACTGGGGTCAGAGGTAGCAAAGGAGAGAAGGAAGAATTTTTGGAGTAGGGAAAATCCAACCATGCTTGGATTCTATTATTCTAAACCAGGTATATTTGAATTTTTAACCTAAATACTTTGCAAAACACAGGAAAATCAAGTCTGAACAGCTGATCTTTAAATATAAAAATATTTTTAAATGGTTTGTTGAACTAGAGGGAGATTATAATGCATGGCTTGGCGTCTTGGCACAACACCTTGGACTTCAGCAGCAGGGATTGACCTAAACCCAAACCTAAGCACATTTAAACTACTCTAGAAGAATATTTTGATGTTTTCCAACAGAACTGGGGTCAGAGCAAAGGAGAGACGGAAGGATCCCTTAAAATATCTTATCCCTTAAAAATGAGGTAAAAAATGGAGTTTGGTGAAGAAAAACAACTCTTCTGCTTCTCTGTTATTCCTTGATGATCTTAAAATTTCTTCCAACCCCAATGGCTCTACTCAGGATAAACTGGAGCTTGTTTCTGAGTTTCTCTGTTGCTTGTACAGCTTAAAATAATATTTCCTGGTGACTTGTAGAACCAGGGAAGCAACACCTGAATGCTCAGTTTGGAGATCTGCAGACATTTTATTTTATTTTATTTTATTTTATTTTATTTTAATCATTTAAGGGAGATGAGCTTTATGTGACTTGACATTTCATTACAGCCAGCTTCACCTTGAGTTGCTTTGAGGCAGGCAGAGGAATAAAGGGGTTTATTTTTTTGTTTTGTGACTCATCTCTTGCTTAAAGTAGGTCAGAGGAATGTTGTCCTAAGGTTGTGTGTGTTCCTCGTGGGTGTTCCGGGGAGCCTGAGGAGTTGCTGCAGTTTTACCCCATTTTTGGGGTGATTTTTGGGTTTCTGAGGTGAGGAGAGATGAATCCCCACTTCAGAGGAGTTAAAAAACTGCAGGTACCAGGTGTGAGCTTGAGAGAATTGACAGAATTTGCTCATTTATTTTACACCCCAAACTTAGAAGGGAAAGACTTTGGGGGGTTATTTTGAATAATTTGGGTGTAATAGACCATGATGGGAAATGAGAACCAGTGGAAAAGAATATTTCTAACAGGAATATAAATGGGCAGATGCAAATATATAAATATTACATAAATATAAAGGATTACAATATTAGAATATAAATATTATTTCTACAATATTTTTATCTAACATTTATATAAATATTATGTTCTACTATTAGAATATGTATTCTAATAAGAATATAAATGGGCAGATGTAAATATATAAATATTATATAAATATAAAGAATTAAAATATTATAATAAATATTATAGTATAATGTTTATATAAATAATATTTACAGCTAATATTTATAGCAATATTATATTCTATTAGAATATAAATATTATATTCTAATAAGAATAAAAATAGGCAGATGCAAATATATAAATATTATATAAATATAAAGGATTATAATATTAGAATATAAGTATTCTATTCTAATATTTCTATAATTAATATTTATATCTAACATTTATATAAATATTACATTCTGCTATTAGAATATAAATAGTATATTTTAGTAAGAATATAAATGGGCAGGTGGATGAAACAGGCAGTAAATATGGGTGTCAGTGTTTTAAAGAGGTTTCAGCTTCATTTTTCAGTGAGAAATAATTTCATACTTTGATTAAAAAGCTGATGGGGTGGAGGGATGTTTAATAAAAATTAAGTTTCAACTGAAAAATAGCTGCAGGTTCAGTGTAGGTGGGTTTGTCAATGCAACAGGTGCTTTTAACATCATTTTTATATCCAAAATGCCTGTCACTGTATTCAGAGTATAAACAAATAACAAATCTATAGAAAATGTTCATGGGTGGGGAATTTCAGGCAATGAAGAGGATAAAAATATGCTGAATATTTTTATAAAAATTTTTAATTTATAAAATATAATTAACAGCAAATGGTCAGTTTGCATTAGGGATTTTAGCCAGATTCTAGGCATGTGTTTTCCATCAATACCAACGCTGGGTGTAGGCAAGAAGTGGAGAAGTGGCACAATTGGCAACATGAAGAACTGAAAAATTAGATATATTGGAATATATTAGATATAGTATTGGATATATTATATGGTATATAGTACATATTATATAATATATTGCAGTAGAAGATATTGGATTTTGGTTCTGTAAGGAAATAAGGAAAGGAGTGGTTTTAGAAAAATCCCTGAAACTTGGGGTGCTGAAGCCCTGCACAGAATTCCCAGAGCAGCTGTGGCTGCCCCTGGAGCCCTGGAAGTGCCCAAGGCCAGCGTGGGGACAGGGGAAGGTTCCCTGCCATGGCAAAGGCTGATCTGTAATAAATAAATAAATAATAAAAATATAAAGGAATAAAATAAAAAGTAAAATAAAAATAAATTAAATTTATAAATTAAAAAAAATTAATTAAATTAAAAAATATTTTTAAAAATAAATTTTAAAATAAATAAATGAAATTATCTTTAATGGCCCTTCCAAGCCAATCCATTCAGGAATTTCAGTATTATTTGCTCTAAAAGTGCACTTTCAAACTGCTTTTTATCCTTGCCTAAAATTGTTTATATTGATTATATACCTTTTTATATATTATAAATAAATATATATTAAAATATTTATTTTTTAAAATATAAATTATAAACTAATTTTCTATATTTTTATATAAATTTCAAAAATTCAAAATGCTTTTTATCCTTGCATAGAAATTTTTATATTTATTATATAGATTTTTATATATTATAAATAAATTTTGATCCAGCTCCCTCTTTCCTTACAACCAACTTTAAAATTAATTCTCCTATTTTAAAATTAATTCTATTCATGGTATTTCTATAGAAGCTGGAGTTCTGTTTGGAATTTTTTTTAACTTGGAAAATGAATCAGTGGAAAACAGAATCACAGGTTCTTCTTCTCCCCCTCCCCTCACAACCACTGTTGTTTAAACAAGAATTATGTTATTAGGTA